TGTGACAATGTGACAAAGCTTGCAATACTACTAGTAATAGGCTGCAGATAAGGATTTCTGAAACAGATTTTTCAAAAAATAGTCTTAACATCTTATAGGATGTCAAGAAATGGCTGGGTTCATTTAAATGTTACAAAAAGTCTTAACTTCTCTGATTAATGCCCTGTGTGTCTCTGTAGGTACCCAAATATTTTTGCAAACCTGTCACAAGCCTGTCTCAGTGCTGTCTGCTGGGGAGTTCATGAGTGCTAAACTGACTTAATGATATGCAATTTTTGCACTAAAAATGACAATACTATAAATACTTCCATTCAACTAGCACAAGTAGTACATACTGACTTTAATATATGGTATGAAATGAGAGCAAAACAAATACTCCAGAATGTGGAAACTATGTATTGCAATGTAGTATCTTTTAATGAGTATCTTATTGCAAAACACAAAATGATTACTCCTAGTTATTTCGTAGTCTGGATTCTCAAATACTAACAGCCAGGAAATGCTCTGGCTTGAGAATTACTAGTATTAAGGGTTTTTTTTAAATTACTCATCTGCTCAAAACTTTCCACTTAAACTGAAATGTAAATAGTGAGGCAAATTGAAAGAAGTTACACCTGGTTTTGTAAAATAGGTTTTAAAAACACAGGTGTATTAATGCAATAATAAAGGATTTTATGATTCTGGTGTCTTGAAGTGCAAGCAGCTTAGTGATACCCTGCTGATGCCGAGTACTGGAGAGCTCTCTTCATCAGATCTTCCCCAATCTCAACAGCACTTCCATGTCCAATGGCAACAGTAGCCCTCTTAAATGGGAAAACATTAGGGTTTGGTGCCCCTCCAGCCAGAGAGATGAGAGATGGAGGAGACTTCTGCATCAATTCAGCTAGAATATAAAAGGAGAAGACCTTGGTTACAATTTGATTATTGCAACACTGATCACATCCTTTAGACAGTATATAATAATGGTTCAGAGAAGTTTGTTCTATTTTTCACTTTGTTTTTTTAACTGTCATGAATTCAAAAGGATGATAATTCTTTTTAAACTCACCTTTCTACTTGGATTAAATAGGTGTTGGGGAGGTGGGGAGGGAGACACGGGCAGGACAGAGCAAAACAAAAAATCATCTTTGCTTTAAAATAAATTATAAATAGCGTTTTTATCTTATCTGGACTATTCTAAAATTCTGTTCTACTATTATAAATTTTTTTCTGTGACTAATGTATTTTAAGCCTCAAGAATTTAAAATTTTAATGATCTTCTGTTTAGACTGACTTGGAATGATTGGCTTTGGTTTTTTGTTCAGCCTCCCTTTAGCTGATGTGGCAGTAGTGCAGCTACACTGATAGTTATATCTATGATTATAGCTTTTCTGTAAGGGAGTGGGAATGTTTCTGGCAGCCCAGCTGTAGTGGCAGAGGCACTGTTTAAATAATTCGGTATGAAGAAAATGTTAACTCTTGCTTTAAAGTCACAGTTTCACAATCATTCAGGTCCAATCTATGCAGTGCAGACTGGACCTTAATCCAGCAAGGGCACTCGATTGCATTAAATCTAAGAGCTCACAATATAGCATTCATGCTGGCTTGACAGTTTTACATCAGATATGAGGACAGATGACACCAGATCTGGCTTAAAGCCTCCTGTTATCAAGTTTATTCTCCACTACTTTTTGGCAAACTCGAGCATAGGGAATTCTTATCAGTTCAGCAATATGGGTCATGTCTCTGACTTTTGGTAGAGAGATTTACTTTGTCATCAAAACAGCAGCCTCAATATGTCTTTCTGAACAAGCTGTGCTACTTACTATTTGTGTTATGGTGTGTATCAATGTATCACTTGAAAAAGTATAGAGACTGACTAGAGTGAAGTAGTTGACTTAGCTGTACCTGTATGAAGCATTTTAAGCAGAACAGCAAATGCCAACCCCTTACCAAGAGATGAAATTGACCCCCGAAAGCTTAACTAGGGATGGATGTCACACGCTCTGATTCTGTCAGGTCCATGGAGGTTTCAACTGAGTAAACAAGTAGGCAGTTAACCTTTTCTATCTGTCAAACAGAAGACTATGTAACATAGTAGCCTAAAGATAGTATAATATAGAAAAGTGTAGTAACACTGGGAGTGTGGGCGTGGCGAGGAATTTATGGGCATTAACAGGATACAGGAAAGCTAGGTGGAAAGAAACATTACGGTGGGACTGAATTTCAAGTCATTAGCAGTTGCTTGTTCCCGGACAACCAGCGTAAATTCAGTAGCAAACTGTGCCAAAAGCCCTGCTTCCGAGGCAGTAGCAGAGATTTTCCAGACTCACGTTGAAGTGACAACACTATTTCTTCTGTCTGGATGGGTTTCTGAAATGGTTTGAGGCTATTCACTTTATTCTTCTTTATACCTGCTTGACATCTCAACTTGACAAAAGTCAAACGAGTTAACTGGCCTTGCTTGTCAGCTTATGGTATGGCTTTTTTCCAAGCCTTTTCAAGTCTTTAGCCATGATACCCCAGCAAAGTCCAGAACGTAGAATGATACCCTTCCAGAGAACCTGCAGAGAACAGGTGTGTACTCACTCAGAAGTCTTATTGGAGATGCTTTTCTTGCTGCACTCACAGTGGTGATGAATCGAGAGTAATTCATATCTATAGGGAAAAGGACATGAAGCTGGAAAAGTGAATAGGAACCCCTGTGCTCTTGGTATGTGTATCTCCCACAAGTAATGCTTCCAATTCATCATCTCCATAGATGTGCTCTATCATAAATGTCAATTTATTCATGTTAAAATCAGTGCTGGAATTTATTTTCCTTTTTGAATTCAGGGAAAAGGTTTCTACTTCATACTCCTGAGTTCTGTGACAGCCTCCCAATGATGCTGGCACAGCGAGATTAGGCCAGATGCTGCTGTTCTGATAAACACAAATAGCAATGCAGCTTTGATCTGGGGAATTTGTTGGTCTGCAGTGAAGAGGAAAAAGCCTTTTTCCCCTCCCTTTACTGCCAGTTGTGGAGTTTTAAAGGCAGATTACAAATTTGAAGATCTGACAGATCTTAAACACCCATCAGCTCATTTTTAATGAGAATCCAGCTTTATTTAGCTGTATTAAGTATTGCATTTAAAGTGCTTTACCGATTGCAAGCCACCATTAGGAGTCACAACACTTGTCAAGTCAGAGGTGGGCTTTTTTCAGCAAGGCTAATGAAGAATGTCTCAAAATGCTTCAGATGAGTGTTTTCCCCCCTCTCCCCTGGTGCCCACAGAGATTCAGTGGATGGTGAGCCGCAGTCCTGCGGGAAGCCCCAAGGCCTGGTCCCACAGGAAAGCCATCTGCTCCTTGGTAAGGAAGGAAAGCGCAGGACCGAGATGACGGGCAAAGAGACCCTGTCATTTTGACCGCCAGTTCCAAGTGTGCTGCTACTGAATTCACAGAAAATAATCCTCCAGCAACACGCACATGCTGGCAGTTATTAAAAATGATCTCTCGAGCAAGACTGCTTAAAAAAAAACCCCTCATACTTTCTAAAAATACGCTTCTTAACTTTCCTCGCCCTCAAGCGCGTCTCCCCCAGCGTCAGCACGCCGAGGCCGGGCCGTGGCGGTGCCGGCTCTGTACAGAGCCATGGCTGCTGCCCGGCCGCCGGGCCGGCTCCGGCTGTGCTTCAGCGCTATCTGCGGCAGCGCGTCGCGGCCCTTCCCGAGGCGATTCCCGAGATCCCTCACCGCCGCCCCCCTTCCCGGAGGG